AAAGATGACTTTCCTTTGCAGAGGAACAAAGAAATATCATTATTCTAACTGACTGATTCTATTATATTGCAGAAATGATAAAATAACAGGATACAAATAAAGACTCAAAGAGCCAATACAACGACAGAAGATACAGAATGAAAAACTTTGGACAGTTGAAGACTGAGTATACCTCAAGAAAGAAAAATGAGGCATAGGAAAATTAACACTATTAAAAGCAGCCTTAAATTCCCTACATGTTTTTTTCTCATCTCTCCTGAGACAACAACCTCATGGCCAACTGAGTACCAACAAAGTTTGGCTGCCTTGTTTTTCAACGGTCAGCATTAGCAATCAATACCTCATAGAAAAACTGGCATTCCTCATTCAATAAATATTCTTAGAAATATGAGATCTGTAGCATTGACATTCAGTTTGCTGCTTCATCCCAACAAAATATTGGGCAGTGCCAACGTATTGGTCACCTATATCTACTGCAAACAATTTATATACCCAGATTTTATAACATTACCTTTCATCCAAACTGTAGTTGACAAGCAAGAAGAGAATCTGATCTAAAAGAAATACAACAAACGTGTAGACACAAAGGAAATATCCGCAAGAAATTACTTTCCCTAATAGTAAGTGATGTCCAAATTTAAGCATTGCTGCAGGCCATTGGATGTAATGGACCATTCTTCCTAAACAGTGCAGGACCAAATCAATGAGTAATATTATCAATTAACAATCCTGGCCAGTCAGCTGGTTTTGACCATGAATTAATGATTTTTCAGCTCTTCCTTCAGTTTTCCACATTTGAAGTGCAAAACGTTGTGACAGAGCAGTAAATTCCTATAGTACAACATAGCTCAGAAGAGGTGGACAAGGATGAGGTGCCCAAGAAGCTCATGTATTAATACAGGCTCTAACTTAAAACAGTTGTTGCAAAGAAACTTGAGTTTATTTCAAGACCAAAGGGGACAGGAAGATGGCCTTTGTTTTACGTGGATAACTAGGTCAGTTGAGCGGATCAACTGACTGCATTCCAGTGGAGTGAACCCACCAGTGTGAATACTTTTGTTAATGAGTTCATCATTGGATTAGAGATGAGAGACTTCTCCCAGTGTTATCTAGAGCAGCACAGGAGAGACTGTACAGAGGGCTCAGGCCAATGCAAAGCTTAAAAACTGAACAACTAACAATACAAATCGATGGCCTTGAACTGGTTTCCACTCACTTATCCCTTCATGGTGACTCGGGGATGTCTAGCTTCGTGATGGTGAACATGTAGAGACTGGATATCAGGATCACATTGCATTGCAATTGAGTTGCATACTGCATTTTGATTACTGTGTTTTCCTACACGTAACTTACACTCACACTGAGTTTTCAGCATAATGCATATACAGTCACTCTGACTGCATATACAATCACTTTGCTAAATCAAAAACCCCACGTAATACGTTCAAGTAATTTTAAACAATACACCCTTCATGTGTGGAATATCTAGAAGTCTCCTGTACTCTGGCATTAATGAGAAAGGAAATGGTCAAATATTTTATATTGTCTTAAAACTCAAATGAAAGACAAATCAATGCCCGATTTGTTCATATCTATGCTATAGAAAAGAGATTTATTCACTGGCAACTTTTCTTAATATTACACTTTTAAGTAATGGATGCTATGTCAGACCAGAAACAGTTTTGCCACTTTCATTTTAACAAAATTGTTTGGAAAGATAATAAAATACCAAGATGATCTTTCTTGGTTGCATTATGTCTTCTACATCCTTTCTCCTGAGCACCTCTTCATGCTGGAGAAGAGCACACAGGACCTCAGAAATACTAACCACACAATCAGATCCAGATGAACAAGCATGCACACACCCACCTAAAGCCTTTGCAAAGAAAATTCAGAGTTCATAAGCGTACACTGGAGCATGGAGAGGAAAAGCATGAAATATTCATATAACACTCTGAATTCTAAATTATATATGTAATCCTGCACATCACTTAGACAGGTCAGTAGAAGGCCCTGCTAGATGTGACACAAATAGTTTTCTTTAAAGCTCACACAACAAAATATACATATATATATATATATATATAACAAAGCCTCTGCATAAAACATTAATATTCCAGGCAGTACATATCATAATCTATCCACCTTAGCTTCTTCCAAAGCATATCAAGACACAGATAATATGAAAGATTACAAGCAGAAGACGAACGCAGGAGAATCACCTACTGTATAGCTTAGAAAAAAAAACAAGAATGGACACAAAGAATAGATAGTTTAACCAACTCAAGTGACACTGCAAACCACAAGTTCTTCTTTTCCTTTTCCCGTAATAGAAAAGGATATCCATTTTAAAAAAATCCAAAGATTATATCACGTATTCATATGCAAATATATATAGATATATGAAACTATAAACATATATCCAAATATACACATGTATATATATCACATATTCATACACATATACTCATATATATATTCACACACACACACACATACATATAAACATATGAATACATATCTTTTCATGAAATATCACTCAAGTGGTTAAAAAAGCACAATATATATCAGGCACGTATAGGGATGAAATACCTATTTTTCAGGGTATAAGAAGGCTTTCAAGCAACAAGGTAAAGCAGAAATTGCTCTCAAACAATTAGAATTACGGCCTGTAGGCAGGATACACAACAAAGAGATATTCTGATCTAGTATAGGAACAACCTATATTCCTAAATCTTGAATTGCTTTAAAAAAAAAAAATCTAAAACATACCCTTGAAAGGAATTAAAAAAAAAAAAAAAAAGGCATCATTTTGAAGTGAATCCATCTTTAGACATATATAGGGCATGGAAGGATCATGCAGTCATTTACTGAATACATATCAGCTATATTACCAACCTGCAAGTTTTCCCTTCCTTACCTCATTTCCTTACTTAACATTCTCTGCTAAAGTACCTTGTTAGATAAGTTCAGCCATTAGTTTTTGGGGATTTAATTCTTTGGCCAAGAAAAGCTCTCCTGGACTTCAATGTTTTTCACTAAACTCAAGTTTACTACTAGGGTTTTTTTAAAAAAAAAAAAATATATATATATATATATATTTTTTTTAAAACACAATTCAATTGAACTGTTCAAAACACAATTGAACTGTTCAAGTTTAAAGTACTCCTTACCAGCTATATTCACAATCAATGCAACTTGCTATCCAGCCTGGAAAAAGATATCAGCAAAAATGACACTTCAGTGTATGTAGAGGGACATCCCTAAATCTGCTATCTACTAAAGAAAATAAATTTCACTATCATGCTTTGCAGGAGTCTTTCTTGTAAGCTTAACTACAAAAGGCAGTTTAAAGATTTATTTTTTTTTCTTCACAGGATGTAGCAAAATGCAATTCCACTATATATTAGATGGTTGTGAAGTCTTGAGGAATCTCAAAATGTAAACCCTAACATTCGTGAGAACCATAATATTCTGCAGGACTACTCCAAGTAGAACTACAGACAGAAACAAAGCAGCATCATCTTCAAGCAAGCTCACAGAAAGGCCACAGACACGGATAGTACTAGTTTCAGCCTATGTGGAACTCCAAACAAGTAACCACAATTACATTATTTTTGTATTTAGTCTCCATAAGCTGAGGAGCTACAGAACAGTCTTACTGCATAGTGCAGATGAAGAAAATTCCTGGACAATTGCTTTGTAAGATCTACCTTCCAACTAAATGCCAGCAGACACACACACTGTACTCCAAGGAATTAGCTTCACAACCTTCTGTAATTTCACTTGATTTTCAAATGACTTGTAAACTCATATTCACCTACATTCTCATCAGATCTCTTACCATTTAAAATTTGGGGCTTCTATGTTTGCAAGTGTCAAATACTATTTCAAGAAGGCAGAACATTACAGTATCTGTATAAGCAACTGATTCTTGTGCACCTATATCACCAGTCACCTACTTGGTTGGGTTCACGAGTTTGTATAATTGTACACACTGTAGTTCTCTAAAAAAACTGCACAATTTTACACAGCGTTGAGATTAAGTATCTTCAGCTTCTATCAGAGGTATCTCATCTTCCTCAAATGTGCATTTTAAACCTAAAATATTAAAATCTGCTGCTATAAATTGATTTCTGTTTTTGCCAGCACGCTACATGTTTCTTACCTATCCAGCCTCTTCTGCAGACAAATTTTGAAATGAAAGTTCACGAAATACATGAAATAATTGTTATCTTGATGAAATGAGCAGCAATGGTAAAATAAAGCATGAGTAGCATGCCAGTCTTCCAGAATTCTGTCGTATCATTTTACTCTGAAACTGGTATGCCCTGTAGACGACACCTCTCACATGACTCAAAGCTTATTAAGGAATCAACAGAAGGACGTATTACCTGCTTACAGGTGCTATAGCTTATATACATTACATTCATAAATGAATGAATACTAATTGAATGAATACTAACACTAAATAAACAACTGTCCAGGCCCCTACAGCTCATATTGAAACAGAATTTTAACTGTTAACAGGCACATAAGAAAAGAGATTATGCAGCAGTAGATAAGCATTCCTAAGATATCATATAAAATGCACTATCCAAGATTATTGCAACATTTTAAGACGTGGGAATTCAGATACACACTTTAATTAATAAAGTGACATCCATGAGCCAAAACTGCAACTGTCCATGTGCACAATTTAGCCTTGCCCTACTGCAGAGTATGTTCACAAACACCTACAAATGATACTTCTGCTACATTACTTTGCATTGGCCAATAGTAAAGATCCAACATTTACAATAGCTCAGCTAACATATAACATCTCTTCAAGAAAATGGAACTTAAATGCCTCTGATTGCATCTATCCACGATCCATTAGGTATTTGTTTTCCATTTTTTCTTACCTTGATCATCCATGAAGTTTGCATCTTAACTTACAGTCCTTGTTTTAAAGCAGAACTATACAGTTTAACCTTTTAGAACAACAACAACAAAATTACCTTCTGAGGAGTCAAAACCCTCTGTCTGAACTTTTCAATTGTATCTTGGCCTGCAGCTGCCCATGCATTGGCAAATGCTTCTGCTTTATCTTCATCCAGGTGAATGCTCTGCAGCTGCTGTTGCAACGTAGCAGGCTTCAAATTATGATAGACTGCCTGTTAAAAGAAAAATAGCTGTTGTTGTGGAAGTACTTTTCTACAAGATGTGTCAGATATATTCTACCACAAATGGCCTCCACATTCGCACAAAAATTTTACTAGCAATTCTACTGTGTGGCTGCAGAAAATAGTTTGACTCACTAACTGAAAAGAGAAAAGGGTACAACTGGCCCAGTTCTCTCCAAGTGTAACATTGCAAATGACGTATCAAGACAGACAAATTAGGAAAACACGTATGGATGAATCTAATAGTACAAATACACATATACCGTACGTATCTCACTGTAGTGTCAAAGCAGTTGGCAACGCAGACAGCAGGGCTTCTTTGCAGTCTACTGAGGCCATGAAGAAAGGATGGCATTTCCAAATTCATGCTGTTCAGGAATGCTTTAACTACAAGGCAATATTATGCAAAGGCAAGTGCAGCTTGCCAAGAAAGGTGAGCTAGCTATCGCTGCCATGTAAGTACTGATTCTGGTGACAAACACTGTGTCCTGTGTTGGCCTCCCCTCTCAGGACAGGCACATGTCCAGAGAAGGAAAGCAAGAGGGGAAAATAAATAAATAAACAACGCCTCCACACACATAACATGAAACGAAGACCATGCAGTCATTCCAGGCTGCCTCTGAAATGACCACATATCAAAAGGCTGTTAAAAACATTATGCTGTGACAGACCAAGCAGGTAAAGAGATGATGTCTACCAGGCGGAACACAAAAGAGACATGATGTATTCCAAATGGGAATGTTCTTTGGATTGACACTATTTAGACTTTCATTTTCTTACGCAAAAGCAATGCACATCCTAGATTTGACTCAATTGCTTTTTCAGTTCATCTCCAATAAATGTATAAATGAAGCAGTCCAATGAAAATAAGAGCAGTGAAAAAGGCAGGTAAATTCATTGTTTGGTTGAGATGAAAATTCAGAATTCTAGACTGGATCCAATCTCAGTTTTCATACTAACTTCCCGTGGTTAGGAGACACGAGAAGGACTGTTCAGTTTGTTTCCTCTTTAATGCTATGGAATTTGTTAACAAAGTGAAACAATCACAAATTGCCAGGTGCACTTTTGACTAAACATTTGTTTTCTATCTCAGAATCATGAAAAATAAAAATAATTTAAAAAAAGCAGTAAGAAAACAATATAATCAAAATCCCATAACAGACCTAGCTGAATTATATAGATGCCCCTCCTGACAAGGCCTTTAAGCTTACCCGTAATTTATCTATTATACTTCTACGCAAATGAATGGGTAACATATCAGCTGTAGCAATTTAAGAAAGAGCCCAGACTTCTTCAGCTAACCTATTTACTGTGCAATATTTTGACTTCCCACGTGAGTGACAGACTACTAGCTAACAACAGCAGAAAGAGAAAATCTATTTCATTAGAAGATACCGAGCTCTACATCATAGAGTCAACTCCTCATTCAAATGCCAGAGCTACCTTATGTGGCTGAACAACTACACAATATAAGAGTTAACAAAAATGCATGAAGAGATTACTTAAATCAGTAAGACAGCATCTCATAGTTTTCAATATTTCTCTCACAATCATTAAAGGAGGTTTTTATATTTGCATTAATTGCAATGTCCACAAACATGGTTAGTCCAACTCAAATCAGTAACGTATGCAAATAACTTTATGCAATATGAACCCATACAGAGTATACTGGACATGCATATTTTTAAGAATAACCTTTTAACTTAATGTTAACTTGAATTCTATTTTTTTTTTAATCTACAATCTGACAAAAATATACCTATCAATTCATAAGAACAAAACAAAAGCAGGTACCTGTTCCAAAATGAAAGATATAGTTTCAAGAACTAGGTGAAGATCCTGCTTTTCCAGTGAAAAAGCTGCTTGCAGTTTTTCTTCCTCCTCTTCACTGAAGCTGCTTTCAGCCTAAAGTACAGAAATAGTTATTCCTGACATTATATTAGCAACCAAAAACAGATTTTGCAAAACACAAACACGATGGTTACCCAATTGTTTCTACATGGAAACAGAGGAAATCCTTTTTCTAACAAAAAAAAATACCATGTGATTCATTTTCCTGTAAATCCAAATGAACTTCATATGCGACACTGTGTATTTTTAAGAAAAAAAAATAATAATGATGCACCACAAGAACATGCTTTCTCCTTGCTTGTTAATAAATATATCTCCTTGTCAATAAGTATATTTAGGAGCTACTAAGCAAACTTTCGACCACATTACATCATCTGCGACATCCTTTTATATACAAAAATAACAAGTACAATAAGTCCACTACTGAAATCAGAAAAGCAAACAGAAATAAAGCAAAACAAACAGAAGGCAAAATTTAAATTACATATGCTTCTCCCACTCTGGATAGTGGCATTTTCTGTTTTGAAAACTGTCCATGTTGTTACAAAAGAATTAAACGCAGAGTGTTCCCTTTAGGTTATTTTAAAAGCTTCCTTTTAAAGCTGCGGTTTTAACGCGATCTGTAGTGTGTTAGCACGGAAACGTCAGCTCAGCCACGGGCAGCTGAGGGCGGCCCGCGCTCCGGGCGCGCTTTACTCACCCCCACGCCGGGCACCCCGATGCCCTCCCAGCACCCTGACCCCCCCGGCGCCCCGCGACGCCCCGCGCCCACCTTGATGTGCAGCCTCTGGAGCAGGCGGCAGAGCAGCCGCGGGAAGCGGCCCGGCGCCACGGCGTTCAGCAGCGACACGGCCCTGCGGATGCTGCGCGCGCGCAGCGGCGCACGTGAGGGCGGCGGCAGCCGCGGAACCCGGATCCCCCCACCCCGGATCCCCCCACCCCGGATCCCGGATCCCCCCACCCCGGATCCCGGATCCCCGCCCCTCTCCGGCCCTGCGCGGCCCGGCCCGCGCTACCTCTCGCTCTCCGGGACCACGGGCGCCGCCATCGCTGCGGCGCAGGCCCCGCCCCGGCAGCGGCCGACGGGAGCCCGGCGGGGCCAAGCCGCGCCCGCGGCGCTCCGCCTTGCGCGGGAGCGCGCCTGGAGGGCGCGCGAAAGACGGGAATTGGGGGAGATGGAGCCGGGAATGGGGGCGGTTCCGGTTGCCAGCGGGGACCGCATGGTCGGCGCAGGAGCTCCGCAAAAAATAGTTAAAATTCTTCTAATGCAGTTTGTCGGGATCGCGGTGTGGGAAAGGGCTGGACACTGTGGGGTGTTGTGGAAAAGCACGTGCTGGAAGCCTGGCCGTGCTCGAGCAGGGCGATTTATCCCCTGTAGTGCCGTTTCATGGGCCGCCTTAAATCTTGAAGCCTCCAGCACCCGGCCTGAAAATCCTGAAGTCTTTTCCGTGATTCCCTCCCGCAGCGTGATTCCCTCCACGGGGTTTTGTCATCGCTCGCTTTTTAGTTAGACCTCACTTGGGCATTCCGTTTTGGAGGATCTCTTTTTGAAATACGCCTGTGAGCGCGAGGAGAACCTCTGGAAACAGCCCAAGAAGGATGTAGGAATTACGGGACTCTTCTCAATTTCAGACAAGCTAAGCATTGTGATCAATTGCATGGGAGAGTTGAGAATCTATTTTTTGGAAGTTTTAAAGCACAGAGAGAAAAATACCCATCAAGAGAGATGTCAGTGAAGCTTATCCTGCGCTGAGGACTACGTGTGCTGCAGATCCTTGGGACACCTCCTTCCTCGGAGTGCGTTATTTCCTCTGTTTTCTTAGATCCTCTTGATCCGCTTTTAATTCCAGTCTATTACTTGCAGTGTCACTGTGTTCACACACAAATCCTCCTCTTTTCTATTGTCTTCCTTTTCTCTGCTGTTTTTTCCTTATTTCTATAGTTCTGAAGGTACATACGATCTGTAGAGCTCCTTAAAGTATTTTCAAGTTACGATTTTTACAATAACTCTGAGCTACAAATTAACTATATAATTATCCTAGTATTTGATAAAAATAAAACAACATAAAATTTCACTCACAACTGAACATGTAGTTTAAGCATTTGCACTTAACAGGCAATTAATTTGTATAGCAGGAATTGAATTTTGTCTTCCACCTAGTATTAAATAGCTCAACTCCTCAAATCTCGTTGAGAAAATAACTTGTTTTGTAAAGTGCATTTTATATGTTTCAGTTAGATTACTTCTGTCAGAAATAAATACTCCTCTGTGAGTTTTTTGTCTATGACTGCTATCATTATGAAGCAATCTGCCACTCCTTCTATGTCATTAGTTGCATCCTGCTGTATGAAAAATCTCATTAAAATCAACAGGACTATTTGCAATGTCAGATGCTGTTCAAGATGAATAGGGGCTGGGGAATTTCACTTTATTGGTTCTATATGCTGGTTTATATTTTGCTATTTTATGCTTATGTGTGAACTCTTACATCTGGCCACATGAAGAGGATGAAACTACTTCAGCAGAAGGGAAGGCTGCACAGCACACTCCTTTAGTCAAATATAACCATGAACATACAGCAAATACAGCTGCAAGCAGTGCACCTTAATTTACTGAATTATAACGCAGACAGATATGATCCTCTAAGGAATGGGTGCTCCTACATTTGCACCTGAGCGGAGGTGGAAGCTCGTAAGGAGTTGATAGGGCCAGGCCACTGGAAACAAGACACGTTACCACTGAAAATAGTAGGATAGCAAGATCTTTCTGTGGTTCATGACATGGCTACAAGTGACGGTTCTTGGATGCAAATATTATGTTCTCACCAATGTTAAAAGTTGTGGGTAGCTCCTGCTTGATGTATCTGTTTTTGAGGTAGAATAGCATTAAACAGAGAGGTCAACTTAAACCGGCATAATTTATTTGAAAATGTTTTAAAATCACAGTCAATGTGTCAAAGGAGAAGCTACAGTCAGTAGTGCTACTGCAGTAGAAGCTACTAGTGATAGTATCACTATCATCAGTTAAGAAACCCAGTAGAGTGACAGCAGCTGTAATGATTTTGGCATAAGTACATTCCCTTAAATATTTATCCAGAAAATAGAGAAATCCAGAGATCTTCTGTAGTCAAGGTCTTCTAGTTTTCTCATAAAGTCAGTCAAATCTCTGTTTTCCTCTAGTTTGGTTATCTGTGGAGAAAGTCCAGCTGTGCTCTACAGGAAGTGTTAAAAGCATCAAGAAAATTGTCCAGAAAAGAATTCAAAGTATATTATTTCCCTTTTTTATGGCTTTTCTGTGTTTGTATGGATCTCAGAGACTGGCAAATATTAACTACGAGAGTTCTTGCCTCAGCAGATGGTGACATATAGTGTTAAGTACAATAACAATTTGGATTAATTTTTCTCTAAGCTATGCAAAGGGATTGAGTAGTCTCTAGCCAATATGCAGAAGTTTCTCTTAAAGTGGAAAAGGAGATAGAGGGCACAGTGAATTCAAATTAAGCAGATTTAATCAATTTTTAGGAAAAGATTGGCAGATAGGATCTTAGTCTATACTTTAGCGTATTCCTGAGTTTTCATCTTTCCATAAGCCACAGTGGGAATCACTGGTGGCTGTCAGCAAGGCAGCCACGTGGGTGAGGAACAGACAGCCTGGGTAAACTGACAGTGTCACAGACTGTTTAACCCCTATATTGGGGGGAAAGAGAGAAGAAAAGGTGACAGACATTGTGGAACGGTTCATCGAGCTGCTTTGATCTTAATAATTTTAAACATAAGCTCTCTAAAGTGACCTTACCCCAAAGGTGAAAGCATATTCTGTTTAGAGTGATACTTTATGAGGTAAGGAGATGACTCTTGTCATCTCAAAACTGAACGATTTCATAAGAGGTTAAGAAATATCAGCTCTCTCTGAAAGCGGTTTCATTTAATAATCATCTGCAAACATCCTCCAATGTGGAATTATGTAATTGCCTGACAAAAGCTATCAGACAAGGGCACTCGGTTGTTGTTTTACATACATATATATATCAGTAAGTTACACATCAGTACTTGAGACATGCATCTTGCATCTTTTTTTTTTTCTTTTTTGCAGGTAGCTACTTTAATAGAATTTGTTGTGCAACTATCAGCTGCTGATTTGAAATAAGAGCCAAGTTGGGATGATCACTGTCTGCAGCAGTGTGGAGCTGCTGTCCTCCCATGCATGGCAGAACGGCCTGTGCATCACGTTTGTGGTTTCAGTGTCCTTGTCCTGGCTCTGACTGCTGCCCTTCAGCTTCATTTTCAAAGCTGCATTAGGTATCTCAGTGATGGTGCTCTCCTGCTGTCTGCATTTGGCTAAGATGGGGTCAAAAACCAGACTAAGAATACACAAAGTAACACCAAACAATGAATTTAATAATAGCATTCCAAATTTACAGCAATCTGGATTTGATCACATTACTCTAAGATATTACATTTTTTTTCCTGGGAAACTGTTCATTCTTTGGACGTCAGTGTAAAGAAAGTAAAGCTAGTTCAAACCTGACCATTTCAGACTCAAGGGAATGCTGTCACCTTGTTTCCCTTGCAAATTAATTTCATTTTTTGAAGAGCTACTGGTCCTCTGCTCAAGTGCAAAGGTCCAGGTCATGTGCAAAGGAATCTGTGGCTCAGAGGAAAGCCCACAAGCCGTTGGCCTGGGGTGGATGACTGCCTGCCCAGTGATGTGCTGCTGGAGGTCTTCTCACCTTCCAGGCCACAGGGACCCCCAGTTCTCCACTAAGGTGGAGACCAAAAGTCCCTATGGTGAAAACCAAGAACAGCCTCGTATGACGACACAGTGCAGCTTGTGGTATGTCAAGTCTGCCATGAATCATGGTAAGGAGGAGCCTGCTGGAACTGAAGATACTTCTGTCCAGTGGCAAAAAATGTAAATCTGTTTCCTTTAGTCTGAACTATGGTTATTGCCTAGTCAAGACAAGGCCACAATTTGCTGAAAAACTTGCTGACTGAACATGTTGGTTTTAGTCTTGAAGCATTGGGCAATAGGAAAGAATTGGAGAGCAGTTTCCATGTTCCTTTATATCCTAAGGCAACTGGAAAGTAGTGACACAGTTTTGAAGCACAGTGTTAAGGGCTCAATCTCAATGTGTTACGTCAATGTGTTATCTCAAATGTGCCTTGCTTCATATAGACGAGGCGTAAAGGCATCAGAAGGGACACATGCTTAGACAAGCATTCAGAAAAGGATAGTAATGTCACACCCCTGAGTAAAAGCACAAGCAAAAAATATGTGAGGAAAAGCTGATTCCAGATAATGTGATTCAGTTTCCCAGGAGGAGAAAACTGTTGTTCACAGCAGTCCAGACATCCTCCTTTTTAGAAAGCCAAGGTTTAGGAGGAACTGCCTAGGTGCCACAGCAAGCCTGACAAGAAGTAGAAGGAATGAAATGCATATTGGGCCTAATGGAGAAGGTTAAAATGTACTGGGTAGCAGTGGTAAAGAGGCATAAACACCACTGGAGGCACCTCACTAGGATCAATTCATAAAACCAAGATTTACTTGAATAAAAATAGAAGAATGAAGAACTTTGCTCAGATGCTAAGGAAAACAGGAACATCATCAGTCAGGGACAATGAATGGCAACATGCTGATCACATCCCCAGCCTCAGTCTCAATTGTATCATAAACCCATTTCCTACTACAGCGACATTCGGGTCCGCATTTGTTCGAATTGCATTTGGGGCAAGGATAGAAGCAACCCAGGCAGTTCTTTTCCAGGCAGTCACACAAATCAACATTATTACAAAGCAGCCTGCCATGTTTGTCATACTTCTTCGTGATTCTGCGGGAGATAAAAACAACAACAACAACAAAGTGATACTGAGAGACTGCTTCAATGTACCCAAAGACTAAATAGAAATAATGTGTAAAATGTCTCTTCAGGAATATTTCCACTTCAGCACACTTATAAGATAGTAAAATGCCAGCATAATATCCTAATTGCTGCAGGCACTGTTATTAAAAATATGTGCACAAAAAAAGTAAAATTCCTTTAAATCAAACCAAAACCCTTTTATTTTTCCCAGTACAGCTTTCACATCTAAATAAATAATCTCTATGAAAAGTAGTAAAGTTTATATTCATCTCATCTTCAGTAAACAGCATAATAGATTTTTTTTAGAAGTTAATTATATAAGTAATTAGTATATCTTACTTGGGCTTATAAAAAAAATCTTGGTTCATCTGTGACATGCGTGCTTTCTTTTTCTGCTCTCTAGTTTCAGGATTGAAGTCAGCTACCTGAGGTCCTGGATTTTGAAAGGCTAAGCATTTTAATTGTTTCTCTATTTGTTGCTATAAATAAAAAAGAGAACAGCAAAGTTATAAGCATTATAGTCAGACCAGGTATTTATTAGCTGCTAAATGGCCCTGTATGCTTCCAAATGCTATTAAAAATTAATACTTAATACTTTCCTACCTGTGTTGTTTTAAGTTGAGACAATAGCTGTGGGCATTGTGTATACACTCATTATTCATTATACAAAAGCACAAACATATGTATAAATTGATGCTTTTTCCTTCTGGGTAATGGGATGAATTGCCACCTGCCAGCTTCCCTGGCAGGTCCTATTCCTTTCAGAAGCCCTGCTGATTTTTCACAACTGAGGGAGTGCTTGAGGGCTTCTCATGGCAAAAGCAGTAGGAATTCAGTCAGATCTGCCAGTTTGGTGACTTTGAAACATACACAAATAAAATATAAACTTGACAACAGGTGGCTGATGCTGTGCATCTTCACCTGTACCCTTCTGAACACCTCAAAGGCAATCTCATATACCTGCAACATTCAGATATTTTCACCTTTGGGCATGAAGTAGATTTTGTTTGTTTAAAATAATTTTCAGCCTCATCACTGCACTTGATCCTAAATTATGTTTCAGGTTGGAAACATAATAAGCTATGGAGATTTGAATGGATAACATGAAGTGTCACCTTTTGGAATTTAAAGAAGACTTAAAAGAGAAGCAACGGCCCCTTCAAGGGCACTCTTCCACTGTGGGCATTGGGCTGGGTGATCTCTAGAGGTCCCTCAGCCCCCAGCTGCTTTGTGACCTTTTGGTTCTCCCCTTGATGTCCCATCCGGGCCCTGAAGTGCCCTTAGTCTTCCAAAACACTGCCCTGCAAACTTGGCTCACTTTACTGCTTATTATTACTTGTATTTTTCTATTGACTTCAGCTTTTTTTCTTATTTTTTTTTTTAATTAATATGGAAGAAATTAAAGGGAGGGGTCACAATCAATAACATGGTTCCTGAGGTGTCATACCAACTGTTTCTGTGTTATTGAGCAGTCCTTAGAAGGAAAGGCGTTTCTTTCTGTGAATGTTTCCTGGGCAGAACTGCTTTTCTTACAGTTTTCTTCCAGATGATCACTCATTTCAATGCCCTAATGAAACATATACATACATGTGTGTTAGACATATATGGAAGTGTGATGACATCTATAGATGCCTTAGGTTTTAGGAATGGATAGGTGATATCCACAGTCTTAAGGATATACACTTAGCACATTCCAATTGCTGAACAAAATGTGGCTCCACATCAGCCTCTGTTTAAAACCGCATTAAAATAAAATAACTTGCATTCACCGATGAAATAACAAAGATATAAAACAGATGCTGTTCCAGCAAAGCCTGTATCAGTCGTCCCTAGGCAAATCCCATGGGAAGCCAGAGCGTGGGGCAATGCTCCCGGCGGTGACGGCGTGGGGTGGCCCTTCGCTCACCACTAGGTGCCACTCTTGTCCAAGCTACAGGTCCTCGGGCACGTCTCCAAAAACGAGGGGACGAGAAGTCACCGCAGGGTGCACCATCCCTCCATCCTGTCACACTTCTCATAGATACCCAGACTGAGTTTCACAGCTGGGTCTACGGCAGCTGGACTGCTCCATGTAGATCCATGGCTTTGCTTCTGAGGGCTTCAGATCTGTCTTTTAAACCTCAACCACTGTGAACGTTTCCTTTTCAAAAATTGCAGGTCTTTCACTGCTAAGAGAGCACCCCAGGAGAGGTAGAGGCTCTGCAAGGCCGCCCTGCCCCTTCCTTCTCTCTGCATCACACAGAAACAGTGGGGAGGAATGTTCGCCATGGACACTAGGTATTTTATTCTACTCACTTGGGAAGCTACTTTGATACAACTCCATACAATATATTCTGTTCCAGAGCCTCAGATTTCAGTCCCAAACAGTGAAGGGAAAGTTTAAGCCTTCTGCTTTTGAGCTCCTCATGCCCTTGCCCAGGTGGCAACAGGTCTCTCCCGTTGTGCCCAGAAGGGATACCATCCCCATTAGGATTATTGCCCAACCCCTGTATCTGGGAAGAACAGGACTCCAGAGGCGGATGCAGCCTGGTTTTCCACTGTGCCGTGGGGCAGGGGCTCTGTGCCAGAAGAGGGGACCTGTGGGAGAGGAGCTCCTTGTGCCTCCAGGAGCTCCCGTGCCTCCAGGAGCCCCCCTGTCTCTAGGCACCTGCAGGCAGCTCCACTGCACGCAGCAGCAGCCAGAGCTGGGTTAGAGGTGAGAAGGGGCTCGGGTAGTGGCCTGGCAGTGACAAGAGAGGAGACCTTGCATGAGAGGGCAGATCACCCCCGACATCTCATTCCACACTGACATATTTCAACTGCTTCTTCACCTCACTGAAGTTATTCTTCACAGAAAACACAAAACATCTCTGTCTCCACATATATTCTAAAAACAAAGTGTTAATATTTACTCTTTAGGAAAATGTTAAAAATCAGGCATGGTAGGATTAAGGACCTGTGCAAAGTTCAGAGAGTCACCAGGCTAATTTTCCTCCATGTCATCTCCTAAAAGGGAGGCTATGAGACTCACACTGCTACTTTCAAGTCTACAGAACTTAACTACACAAAGGAAGGAAAGCAGGGTCCTGAAGCAGTGCTTACCCTGCTGCTGTGAATCCTCTTGGTATATTCTGTTAGGCTGTAGTGATCAATCCCAAGCCAAGGCGCTAGATACTTGCATACAAACCCCTGAGAGGAGAGCAATATTCCTCCCTGCAAAAACTGCACTCTCCCACACCTTTTGAATGGAACAAGTGCTTCTTGGAGACCAACAGCCTCTACTCAAGGTACCACTGTGTCCACAGCATCTGTCTAGGCTACAAACCCTAGGCAGGGCTGACATTAAAAGCAGATGAAGGAAGCAAGAAAAGGCTGTATTATATTGAGAGACTTGGATTTATGCAACATACAGATGTTTCTGTTCAAGAGAAGTTTCAGGAGATAATGGAAGCTGGGAGGAAGAACCTTTGTTTATGATTTTTGCAAAGGAAATATTTTTCTCTATCTGCTCTTCTGAAAATTTATTATTTCCATTTATGAGCTTTGCAATTTGCACTAAATATTTCAATGTCTGCAAAACGTGGTCACCAGTGTTCCTGGTACTTCAGGCTGCTTGAGCTCAGCACTGTAGCACTGGTATCTCTGCAGAGCCTGCCAGAGCAAATGCGTGCTGCTGACTAGCTACATTTGTTCGCCCCCAGAGGACCCCACTCTCTGACTCACATATGTAAACCGAGCAGTACGTTTGCTTTCACTGTGGCTCTGATGCTCATGTACACAGGGGTTACACCAAGTCATTTTGTTGATAACCATAGTCGAGTTCTGCAGAGCTCTCTGTGGCCTTTGGCATTAGCAGGCAGCATGTAGACATGCTCACCTATGCATCCTGAAATCTGTGCAGGAAATCTGGTGCTAGCCTGGTTAAGGATGAGATTAAATTCACCTTCCTCAGTCTATGCTGTGGAGTGAGCTGTAAAGAAGTGGAGGAGGCACCTACCAACTAGTGCGTGACTTCTCTTGTAGTCCCAAATACAGATGCGTGTCCAGATCAAAACACAGATCTTGTCTCTTGCAAGACAAGAGACAAAATCTCTTCCAGAGATGCTGAAAGATGCTGTCTCTTCCAGAGATGCTATAAAACTGGTGACAGGGCAATAGCTGTGCTTTTCCCAGTAAAATAAAGACATCTTTTAAGGATTTTAAGGATTTTCTTTTTTTTTTAATCCTTCGTATGCTAAGAGCAATCCTGTAAAGCCTGAAGTTGAAGTCCTTTAGCTGAACTTTAAAAGATAGTAATAAAATCGTGGGCATCCATCATATAATAGGTAGAAGATATCTGCCAGATCTACCTTTTGAAAATCACAGTTTTGAATATACTCAGTTCAGATCACAGTATAAAAGGAATTTTAAATTGTACTCACCAAAGAAACAGGCTTGCACAGCAAAGACTGATTGCTCCAGACTCGCTGCTGCACAATTCCTCTGACAGCCAGAGTGTGACGTCAGCCCCAGAGTGACTGAAACAGAAGACAAATCATCAAAATAATGCTCCCCAGAGAAGCAGGTGGTGATAGTGCCAGGTACCTGCTTTAAAGAACCTCACACATGTCTCCATAGTTATGGCTTTTTAGTATGGTTTTACTTAGCACGAAGTGTGCAAATAGAGGAAACAATATAAAGTATGATGAGAGTCCTCGTTTATTACCTCCATCTGTTACACATTCTCAGACCAAAAGTCTTTCTTAGACCTTTTTTTTTTAGCATAAGTGAGCAATAAAAGTGTAATGAGTATTGCATTTTAGGAAAAAAAAAAGAACTTTTTTTAGCACATAGATGTACAACGGGAATACATTACCACTTTAGACAAAAAGTTTTTGATTCTGTTTGCTCCAGTCAAAATCTCCAATAGTCAAAAGTAATCAAATAAATATGGTTAAAACTACATCACAACCTCACAGTTGAGCTTTCTGCCTTTCAGGATTGCTGGATATGCCAGGGGAAACAAACTCGGGCTTCTCCCAGTACTTTCAGATGCCGATTTTCAGCATGCTGCAGTCACTGATGGCTTTCATTACTCTTTCCTAAAACAAAACTTAATCTTGACAAACATCCAAAATTGTCAAGTTTTATGAATTCATCTTCTGTTGTGCTTAGACAAATGGTCCAACATATCTTTTGTCTTCATCAGCTGAATCCATGCTCTAAGGCATTTCATAACCCAGTCTGAGTGCAAGTAAATTTATTATTTGCAATATTGTTTTCTTGTCCTCCAAACACTTGTAAAACCAAATGTTAACATTTTAGCAGCAGATTTTACCTAGAGGATTTAAATGCTGTTACACACACAGTCATTATATTCCACAGACTATTTTCTTTGTTCAGAAAAATAAAACAAAAATCCCTCAGGGGAAAAAAAGTTACAAAATCTCTACGGTACTCCTAGGAGAGCAAGCAGAAAAATAAAACCTGTTTGTTTTCCACATGTTCTTCTGATTCCTTCATATTCTTTAATATAGAGAAAACAGAATTTTATAACTCTGTTCATGCAAAAACTGTAATTGGACTGCCTTCTGCTTATTATCTCTTTTTATTCTTCCTTTGGTCTCATAAATTCTTTTAATAGTTACGCACACATAAATGTGAACTTTTTCTGAACTTTGTGTATGAGTTACGATATTTATCTGACATGACATACGTGATAACTAGCAGCCTGCAATATACTCAGAGATATTTTCACTGTATGGGTGTTGGCTGAGGAGCAAGTGAAGACATACATATTAATTAAAATCTTAGGTGGCATTTTGAAAGACTGATAGCAGTGGCAAAACTAGTAGAGATTCCTACAGGGCCAAGTCTTGGCCTGCGTGAACATATGGCTGCAAACAGTGATTTGAGAGACATGAATGAAAAAGCATATAGAGAAACAAAGATGTCTAGATTCGAAATAGATTCTAAATACTGTTTGTGTTCCAATATCAAGTTGGTTGCTTTGTCACAGATTCCTCATTCATACAGCTTTATTCCAGCAGGTCCTGGATGAAACTGATATTTGGGATGTCGCGGGGTCTTCCATAAGCCAGCGAGCTCGCCTTCACTACTGCCCAAAGAGCAGGGACCTGTGCCAAGGGGTGACAGCAGAATGTGGGATGTTCTTTTTTCTTTCCCAGACGAAGAGCTATGGACATGAACATCATAGCTAGCAGAAGTGTAAGCCCACTGGTAAACGGGCCTGAAGCTGGTTGAGGTGCTGCAGCGTGTCCAAAGAAGGGCGGAGAAGGGGCTGGCACACAGGCCTCATGAGCAGCTGAGGGAGCTGGGTTATTTAGTCTGGAGAAGAGGAGGCTCAGGGGACACCTTGTCACACACCTTGCTACCTGAAAGGAGGTTGTGTTGAGCCCAGGGTCGATCTCTTCTCCAGAATAATTACTGATAGAACAAGAGGGAATGGCCTCAGGCTGCACCGGGGAGGTGCAGGTCAGACATTAGGAAGAATTTCTACATGGCAGGAGTGGTGAAACACTGCAACAGGCTGCCCAGGGAAGTGGTGGAGTCACCATCCCTGGCAGTGTTCAAGAAATGTGCAGATGAGGCACTTAGGGACATGGTTTAGCAGGCAGGGTGGTGAAGCGCTTACAGTTAGACTTGATCTTAGAGGCCTTTTCCAACCATTACAATTCTTACGATTCTAGGATAATACCTGACATATAACCAGTTTCCTGTTATATTGCCCTAGAGTTAAGAGTATTACCTAAATATATCATAGGTAAGACCAACATGATTGCACTGTATATGCTTTTCTCTGTAGTAAATTGAGCTAGTAATTTCACTGTGAGGTTTTCTCATTGCAAATTTCCTCCTCTATTAAATTAAATGCCAATAAAAAATAGCAGTGGATTAGAAACACACTAATTGCTGCTGGTGGTAGTTCCCCATTAAAGCAGAAGTAGGTAATGAATTCAATAATGCATCAGTGAATATGCTTCTACGCCGTGATGTACTGTGTGCTCAGTATCTTACAGCCATTACAAAGTGAATAGCTGAAGAGAAGAAATTTTAGTTTTCAGCACTAAAAATCAGTCTGTAATGTTCTTATCCCACTCACAAACAGTTCCTTGGGGCTTCATGATTTAATTGTTAAAGCGTAAGCTGGACTCAGGTTTTAACACTGTATTTTCCTTTTTTATTATGCATTTTTCCCTCATTCTCTTCCCACTTTTCTTCAAAATCACCACCGCCTGTCAGTTACTTAAGTCCCTACTTTCCTCCCATCTGGACAATCAAACCAGCAATGTTCATTTGGGGAGAAGATGACAAAAAGAAGCATGAATATGGCTGCCAGATAATGTCCTTGTGGCTAAGATGCCAACAGCAAGGGGGTTTAAAATGATTTGTTGGAAACACCAGGAACAAAAGGAAGTGAAGAAACCTTTTGCTCCAGGGAAGAGGACACAGTAAAGCCTGCCTCAAAAATCAGCCCAACATGGGCAAGTCTCAGCTGCCTAACAGCCCCCAGGGCTTGTTTAGTGCTATTTCTTCCATACAAGCAAAGAGACTCAGCCAAGGATGACACCCCCCACTATGGATCACTCTTTCCACTGCCACCCCAGAGCCACAAGCGTGGGTTAGTCCTTGACTTGACTGGCAACCGACACCCAATCCAGGGGATCCTTCCCCAGCACCATCTGCCCACGCGTCCCAGGGTGGCCACCTCCCTGAGGCCACTGAACGCTGGGCCTCGCGTACTTGCCCGTCCCTGGAGTGCTCCCGCCTCCGGACGTGGCAGGGATGAAGGGGACACGGCTGGGGCGGGCCTGCTGAGCACCAGCAGGGCTGGGCGGCCACAGCCCCTAGTGAGCCTCAACCCCGACAGCGCTGGATCTCGTCCCTGCGCTGCTCCAAAGCGACACGGGCCTTGGAGACAGCAGGGGATGGTGGGGATGCCCCGAGGGAGGGTGAGGCACCCGCGGCTGCGCGGAGGCCAAGCAGCCCGCGGGTGGCACAGAGCTGGCTGTGGGCGGCATGGAGCTGGCTGCGGGCAGCATGGAGCTGGCTGTGGGCCGCAGGGAGCTGGCTGCGGGCGGCATGGAGCTGACTGTGGGCCGCATGGAGCTGGCTGCGGGAGGCATGGAGCTGGCTGTGGGCCGCATGGAGCTGGCTGTGCGCCGCATGGAGCTGGCTGTGGGCCGCATGGAGCTGGCTGTGGGCGGCATGGAGCTGGCTGTGGGCGGCATGGAGCTGGCTGCGGGAAGCATGGAGCTGGCTGTAGGCTGCATGGAGCTGGCTGTGAGCAGCATGGAGCTGGCTGCGGGAAGCATGGAGCTGGTTGCGGGCAGCATGGAGCTGGTTGCGGGCAGCATGGAGCTGGCTGTGGGCCGCATGGAGCTGGCTGTGGGCAGCATGGAGCTGGCTGCGGGAAGCATGGAGCTGGCTGTAGGCTGCATGGAGCTTCACAGATTCACAGATTCACAGAATATTTAAGGTTGGAAGGGACCTCTAGAGATCATCTAGTCCAACCTTCCTGCTCCAGCAGGCACACCCAGAGCATGTGGCACAGGGCAGCATCCAGGCGGGTTTTGAAGACCTCCAGAGTAGGAGACTCCACAACCTCCCTGGGCAGCCTGTGCCASKGCTYTGTYACCCTAACAGTAAAGAAGTTGCTCCTCACCTGGAGACGGAACTTCTTGTGTTTCAGCTTGTGGCCATTACCCCTTGTCCTGTCGCTGGCCACCAGTGAGAACAGCCTGTCCCCTTCCTCCCTGCATTCTCCCTTCCTGAACTTATACATATTAATCATATCCCCTCTGAGCCTTCTCTTCTCCAGAGAAAACAGGCC